AAAAGAAAAGAAAACGCTCTTGCGAGCGCGGCTCGCCAGCAGAGCAGAGTGGGCCTAAGTAGATTTGAACTACTGACTTTACACTTATCAGGCGTGGTTTGAAGTCTTTTGATGTATTTAGCGGTATCCGCAAAGACAGTCAAATTCTTACGCGCTTTCGCGCCTTTGTGGGATTCAGACGCGAAGCGTCTGCTCTTCGAGCCGTAAGGATGGATTCGGGTAAGGGGGACTTCCCCCCCCCCCCTGCAGTGCTAGGAGAAAGAATGAAAAGTAACAGGCACAGCTCAGCTGGGACACCCATGAACTGGGTGAAATACAGATGACGAAAGTAGTCGAACGAATTTCTAAGTCACTTGGGGCGAGGTCCCACTAGCAACGGGATCGAGTGAGACCCAAATCCTGCCGTGCAGTACTCGTGATCCCACGGTCAGTATTTTACATGTATTTTATTACCCGGAAAAGTAAGGAGATCTTTGTTCCCCTCCTCCTCTCCTTAACACTGGGCATGCCCGTGCAAAGAAAGCTTCCCACCATAATCTTTTCAATCGGTTGGGGGTGTGGCCAACCCCAAAAGCGGGTGGGGTCGGCCATAGGCCCACTGGATAGAAGCTTTTCAGTATTTTGCTCGTTGTCTGTTGTGCAGCAATTATCTCATTGGGTGGGTGGATCCCTCCTTCAATCACGGAGTATACAGAGGGCGTCAGGATCACTGCTGACAGAAGTCGAGAGTTCATTCCAGAAAAAAAAAAATGTGGCAATTACCTTGTTCACTGTTGTTGGGACCACCACCACCATCAGATCATTTGTGATCTGATGGTGGCTGGGAAGCACTCGGCCGTGATTTCCGGTGGGAGGTCTCTGTTTCTTTTTTTTTTTTTTTTTTGCCTTTCTCCTGTTTTTTTGTCAGCCTGGAAATTAGTAATGAACCTGTCAGCCCGCTGCCATTCATTGTCACACTGGATCGGTCACAATCCTACCCGACTGACAATGGGACCTCAGGCTCGCCCCTGGGACCATGGGACCAGTCCGTTCCATGATGATATCCCAGTGCCATTGCCCTTTTATTGAAAAAAAAAGGGAAGAAAAAACTTCAGAATTTTAGAAAAGAAAAAA